ACAGGTCCTTTGAAATTATCCAGGTGGAGGATCGAAAATTTTAAAGAATGACAAAAATTGAAGAAAGCCTAAATGGCTCATGCCCACCACCCAGCAGACCAATATATAGATTATAGGAGTTGCAGAAGAAGAAGAGATAAAGAAGCAGAGCTTATTTAAATAAATAATAGCCAAACTTTTCTCAAATGTAGGAAAGGAAGCATACATTCAGATTCAAGAACTGAAAGAAATCCACATCCAGACACATTATAATCAAATTTTCAAACACAAGGATAAAGAGAGAACTTTGAAATCATTAACAGAAAAGCAACTCACTATTGCAGGGTACCCCATAATCCAATCACCAGATTTCTGAGTAGAAATACTGCAGGCCACAAAGGAATGGGATGCTATATTCAAAGTGTTCAAAGAAAAAAATAGCCAACCAAAAATAACATACCTGGCAAACGTGTCATTCAAAATAGAAAGAAAAATAAATACTTTTCTGGATTAAGAAAAAGCTCATCACCACTAGGCCTGCCTAACAAGAAATACTAAGGAGGGCCTTCAAACTGAAAGGATATTAAGCAGCAACACAAAAGCACTGGAAAGTATAAAATTTTATGGTAAAGGTAAATATAGAGACATAGTCAGAATACTGTAACACTGTAACGGTGATATTTAAATCACTTTTAATTATGATATAGAAAACTGTGAAAATATATTAATGGATACACAATATAAGATGATGTAATTTGTGTCATCATTAAAAAGTGTAAAGGGGCAAAAAAAAACAAAGATTAGAGTTTTTGAAGTTATTAACTTAAAATAGATTGATATAACTATATGATGTTTTCTATATCAGAGGAAACTAGCGTGCTACAGTCCATAGGGCTGCAGAGTCAGAAACGACTGAGTAGGCGTGCCTGTATTACAGAGTAACCCCAAGCAAACCACCTATAGAAAATATACAAAAGTAAATTAAAAAGGAATTTGCACGTCAGTACAAAAATCAATGAAACACAAAAAACAGGAAGAGAGAAAAGAGGAATTTAAAAAAAGTCAGAAAGGAATTAATAAATGACAATATTAAATCATTCCCTATCAGTAGTTACTTCTGATGTGAATTAATTAAAATCCCCAATAAAAGGCATAGAGTAGCTAAATGGATTTTAAAAAGTAATATTCATGCTGTCTATAAGAAATTTACTTTAGAATTAAGGACACACATAGGATAAAAGTAAAGGGGTAAGGGGATAGAAAAAAGATACTCCAAACAAAAGTTCACCAAAAGCGAAAATAATGGTGACAAAATGGACTTTAAGTCAAAAATCTCTCAAAAGAGACAAGAAAGGACATTATATATATATATAATAAAAAATGGTTAATTTGCCAACAAAACATATGAATTATAAATATATATATGCAACCAGCATTACAGCACCCAAATATATGAGGCAAACATTGACAAAACTGAAATGGCAGACAGCAATCCAATAACAATAAGAAATTTCAATGTTCCAGTTTTAATAATGAATAGAATATTCAGACAGAAGGTCAACAAGACAGAAGAACTTGAACAACACTATAGGCCAAATGAATCTAATAGGCATATATAGAACACACTGCCCACCCCCATCACGGCCACAGCAGCAGACTACACATTCTTCCCAAGTACAGATGAAACAGTCTCCAGGATAGGTAGCATGTTAGGTTAAAATAAATAAATAAATAAGTCTTAACAAATTTAAGAAGATTGAAATCATACCACGTATATTTTCCAACTACAACTGAATGATATTAAAATAATCTTATTATTTTATTTTATTAATATTTTTCATTAATATGCCAGAAGGAAAACTGGAAAATTCACAAATATGTGGAAATTAATACACTCTTGAACAATCTTTAAGTCAAATAAGGATTTGACTTATTTGACAGAAGATATCTTAATACAAACAAACCATAAAATACTACATACCAAAACCTATGGGATGCAGCAAAAGCAGTGCTGAGAAGGACATTCATAGCAATAAAAATAATAAAGATCTCAAACAGCCTACCTTTACAAGTCAAAAGAACTGAAAAAGGGCAAACTAAGCCCAAATTGAAAAGAAATACTCCCCGCTATAGAAATAAATCATTTTCCATCACTTTGAGGTGGTATTGAAATAAGGAATGTATTGAACAATACACCTTCAAGGAAACAGTAGATTCATGAAGATGAAATAATCTATGCAGGAACAAAGATGTGGATAATATTTTGTTCATCCTGGATCAACAACAGTAGAATATAAAACGGAACAACCCTATGTGTAAACACCTCAAAATAGAAGTTAACTATTTGTCAAAAAAAAGGTGAGTTTGTCAAATAATCTAACACAAATATATAATGTGAGGCTGCTGTAATACAGCAGTGCATTAATTTAGTGCATTAATCACAATGTAATGCAGTATGAAATGTCAAGTGCAAAAAAACTCATATCTTCCACAAGCACAACTTCAAAATGTACATTTTAAAAGATGTCTATTGTACAGTGAATATGTGAACTGAATAGACACAGACATTACTTACATTCTTTTCCTGAGTGTGGATGAAGAAATATTTGGCAAGATTTCAAATTTGATTTTTTTTTTTACAGATCAGACATTTTTGCTGAAAGAAGCTTTACCCCTTTACACACAGCTACTCTTTCATGTGTATTTTTTAAAATTTAAGTACAGAGAATGCATTTTTCAAAATACAGATCTTCAGGAAAAGTCTATGAAGCAAATACTAAACAGACATATTTAATCAAATTTATATTTTATGATTAAAATGAATGGTAAGCGTAATTTTACCATGGAAAGTTTATTTTAATAATGAAGTATACCTAACTTCAAAGTGAAAGATTTCTAACTAATCCAACAACACATTAAAAATCTAAATTCCTTTCACCTGTTCAACACAATAAAAGTCAACACAGTCTTACTGTTAGAGAATCATAAAAAGAATAACTGTACTGAGCATTTGTATTTACTTATTAGTACTTTTTTAAAAGTTTTATTATAGAAAATACTTAATTTTCTATGCTCTTTGTTTTGAAGTGGTTTCTTAAAATATTAGTAGATAATCTAAAAAACTCTGAAGTGTTTTTCTCTACCACAGTCCCCTCAAATACAAAGAAAATTTTCTAAGTCATAATCATGTATAAATTTTTCTATCAAAAGTGAACCAACAATTTTTAGATTTTTTTGTAGGTAAACTGGGAAAAAACATTTCCATTTGCATGAATATGATTTTAGGTAGATGGCACATTAAATGCCTATAATATTAAAAATAAATGATATGCTTACTTTGTTTCTTCAGCAAAGTTGATCCTCTGTGCCTGTTGCTGGTAACAGACTTGGATCATTAGAAGTCTTACTCTGCCACGAAATGTGACTGCCTTGGCAGGAATCTTCAGGTCCCCTTTGTTATGCCTGTATTGGTCTTAAGGCCCAGAACTTCTTTTTAAGTGTTATTTATCGAGAGAATCTATCACTACTTCCAGATCATTGGAAGACTGTACTGTCAGCTTTAATAATTGTATTGAGTTGCACATGAGTGTGACATTAGTATGTGGTGGGGTTAACATCTGAGGTGTCAGATGACTTCTGTGCCTTTGTAATAAAGGGTAAAACAAACTTTATCTCACAGTAAGAGTTTATTGTGAGTTTGTGATACTAGTTATGAAGGTTTTGTGTGCTTTTATTGGAGTGCTCTGCAATTAAATAATTTTTAAATGGGGTTTGGGATCCTTGGAAAGTTTAAATAAAGAATTATTAATGAAAAAAAAAATAAATGATATGAATAAATTATTCTCCCCCCAAATAACGTGAACACAAGCATGTCTGTACTCTAACAGGTTTAATGTTTACCAAAAGCTGGAACTTTCCCACACTTTATGGGATGATGTAAACATAATTAACTCCAGTATTTTATGGAATGATGTAAACATAATTACTAGACTAGCAAGCACTATATTTTCAAAGGTTTCCTCATTGCTGGTGGGAGTTTGTTTTTCTCAAGTGAAGTTTTTAAGATTCTTCAAAAGTTTTAAAAATGTTAGTAATTTGATATTTGTTTTCTGTTTTCTTTAATTCTCCTTCACAATTAGGTACAGGAATATTCAGTTATTTGTATTAGAAAAAGTTAGGAATGAACCAAATATACAAAAATGGAGAAAATTTAAATAAATAATCTTAAAAGATTATATGCTATATTAATAGAATATTAAAATCATACATATAGTAATATAGTATAAATAATGTGAAAATAGAGTATGAAATTATTTACACAATATTATCCTTATTTAGGCAGTCTTCTCTGGTGGCTCAGACAAGAAAGAATTCACTTGCAATGCAGGAGACTTGGGTTCGATCCTTGGATTGGGAAGATCCCCTGGAGAAGGTAATGGCTACCCACTCCAATATTCTTGCCTGGAGAATGCCATGGACGGAGGAGGTTGGCAGGCTATAGTCCATGGGGTCGCAAAGAGTCAGACACAACTGAATAAACACATACACACACGTACACATACACACATGTACACACACACACACACACACACCACATCCTTATTTAGGCACATGAATAAACTCTCAAACACTCCGAAATCAAAAAAGACTAGAATGAAAAAGGCAGAAATCTTGCGAACAGGAGTGATACAATAATATATGATTTACATATATTTTCATTCTTTATGTATCTTAACTTTCTATGACCTCCACAATATAAACACATTGTATCTGAAAGGAAAACACACACACACACAAATCACAAAATGTTATATCCTCCAAATGTAGATTTTACAAGAAAGCAATTGTTCCCCAAAACAAAATTTATCCAGAATAACTCTAACACAGAAATACGTGCTCACTTCAGTTCTGACTTAACTCATCTGACATTGAATATAACTGTCTCCCCCACTATAAATGAACAGGTCATACAAAACTGTAAGGAACTGTCATTCTTGTTTCCACAGTATATTAAGGCTTACCTTCACAAAGTTTCTGCTTCATCACCTCCCTTATTTTGGATATTGCAATATAGTCTTCCACATAAAACACATAGGTAGATGAAGGTTTGTTGGCAATAGCTCTAAGTTCTGCCTCTTCTGTTTCTGACCCGACACCAATGGCAAATAACGTTATCCCACTGTCTCTCGCTGCTTCGGCAGCATCCTTGACTTCATCTTGGGATTTACCATCCGTAAGGACCACTGCTATCTTAGTCAGAAATCGTGAGGACTTGGCGAAAAGGTAATCAAGGGCAAACTGGATGGCCTTTCCAGTCCGTGTGTTCCCTCCCAAGTAATGTATTGACTCCATGGCCACCATCAAGTTCTCTCCCGATTTGTGGCTCCCCAGGGGAATCTCCAGGACAGGATAGTCACTGTACTGGACCACTCCAACCTGAATAAACTTCGGTCCTATGTCAAAGTTCTTTGTGATATTGACAAGCCACTTTTTCACTATTTCAAAGTTTTCTGGGCCAACACTGTAAGAGCCGTCCAAGATGAAAACTAAATCTGTCGGAGCAGTACGACAACCTAAGTGAGAAAGAAAACCATCAGAGTATATGTGTTACACAAAAAACAAAAAGAGGAAGGTTTCAGATGCATGCACTTTTAACTAGCCAGATTGGGGAATCCTTTCACAACGTGTATGTATATAAAGTCACCACAGTGTATACCTTAAATATCGTACAATTTTACATATCAATTATGTTGAACACCTCAATAAAGCTGAAAATTTTTAAAGTAAAAGATAGAGGAAGCAGTTTATAAAATTTGACACACTGCTTAACTCATGAAAATTCTTTATAAATGAGGGCTATGATTTTTGTTGATATCTTCTAATTATCTTATTTTAAGGATTAATGAATGAATCAGCTTTAAAATCAGAGATTAAAAAATGGATGCTTGCATTGTTAGTGGGAATGTAAATTGATACAGCCCACTATGGAGAACAGTATGGAGATTCCTTAAAAAACTAGGAATAAAACTACCATATAACCCAACAATCACAGTACTGGGGGCATACTCTAAGGAAACCATAACTGAAAAAGACACATGTACCCCAGTGTTCACCGCAGCACTATTTACAATAGCTAGGACATGGAAGCAACCTAGATGTCCTTTGACAGATGAATGGATAAGAAGTTGTGGTACATATACACAATGGAGTATTACTCAGTCATGTAAAGTAACACATTGGAGTTAGTTCTAATGAGTTGGTTGAACCTGGAGCCTATTATACACAGTGAAGCCAGAAAGAGAAAAACAAGTATCACATATTAATGCATATATATGGGATCTAGAAAGATGGTACTGATGAACCAATTTGCAGGGCAGCAATGAAGATAGACTTGGAGGGCTTAGACACTAAAGAATCTGACTTCAATGCTGGAGACCTGGGTTTGACCCCTGGGTTGGGAAGATCCCCTGGAGAAGGGAAAGGCTACCCACTCCAGTATTCTTGCCTGGAGAACTCCATGGACAGAGGAGTGCGGCGGGCCCGTCCATGGAGTCGCAGAGAGTCGGACACGACTGAGCGACTTCACTTTCATTTTCAGTGCAGACACAGACATAGAGGACAGACTTGGAGACACAGTGGAGGAAAGAGAGGGTGGGTCAGATGGAGAGAATAGCATTAGAACATATGTACATTTACAATTTGTGTACATTTACATTTACAGTATATAAAACAGATAACCAGTGGGACTTTGCTGTATGAGGCAGGGAGCTCAAACCCGGTGACCTATGACAACCTAGGGGGATGGGATGGGATGGGAGCTGGCAGGGAGGCTCTAGAGGGAGGGGTAACACCCATCCCTATGGCTGACTCATATTGGTCTATGGCAGGAACCAACACAACGTTGTAAAGGGGATGATTCAGTCGTGTGATTTTACTCGAATGAGGGGGTGTCGCCATGCAGAGGGGTGTGAAGGACACTCTTTCGGTAACCTCTGTCATGGGGACCGTCGCCAGACTTCAGGGCAGGAACTGCAAAAATGGGATTCTGCCCAGAGACAAACTGTCCAACCCAAGGGAACTCAGTCCTCCTGTTATCTTTGGAGGCTGGATGAGGATGATAGGGTTACGCTTTTATTGTGTTTTGAGGGAGAGACAGGACAGGAAGGCTGTGTTTGCTGGCTCTGCGAGGTTGCCCTTCTTTGACGCTATGAAGCTCGTTGTGCCTGGAACTGCGAGTGTCTGTGTACCACTTGATTCAGTGGTCATAAACTTGTACAGGGTTATTCTTGGCCCTTTCTACTCCAGTCCAGGGCCATGGGGCATATATTTCATAACTGCAAGATTAGCCAAGAGGACGGACACAAAAGCAAGCACTGCCATTTATAAACCCCAGATGAAATACCACTCTGAGAGATGCCCGTGTAAGAGAGGTGGATCACAGAGTCACAGGAAAGGAATGCACTGAAGACAAAAGTGTTACTGTTAATCGCTCAGTCACATCTGATTCTTTGTGACCCCGTGGACTGTAGCCCCCCAGGCTCCTCTGTCCATGGAATTCTTCAGGCAAGAATACTGGAGTGGGTTGCCATTTCCTTCTCCAAGGGATCTTCCTGACCCAGGGATTGAACCCGGGTTTCCCGCATAGCAGGCAGATTCTTTACCAGCTGAGCCTCCGGGAAGCCCACTGAAGATGAAAAGCAGGGTTCAAATATGAGCTCCAGCTCTAACCAGATGTATGCAAAGCCTGTGCAGTTTATGAATTTCTTTTCCCACTCAAAAAACAAAGGGTGTCTACCTCATGGAATGCTTGGGTGGAGTGAACTATGAAAGCATTTTGCAAACATTAAATATTATTGTTTCAATAAATTTTAAGTCAAGTTGAATCAAGTTGCCAAACCTGTTTTTTACTGTTAGAGGAACATTCATTCATTTATCATAGAGAGTTTATATTTGTAAGTTTTAAAGTATGAATATAAAGACACTTTTTGAAAATGTTTATTTATTTATTTTAATTGGAGGACAATCACTTCACAACACTCTGGTGGCCCATACCAGACATCGACACCAATCAGCCATGGATGCACGTGCACTCCCCACAACCTGAACCCCCTCCCACCCCCCTCCACACCCCATCCCTCTGGGTTGTCCCAAAGCACCGGCTTTGAGGGCCCTGCTTCAGGCATCCAACTTGCACTGGTCATCTGTTTCACATATGGTAATAATCATGTTTCAATGCTATTCTCTCCTATCATCCCACCCTCACCTTCTCCCAGGTAATCCAATAGTCTGTTCTTTACATCTGTGTCTCTTTTGCTGCCTGGCATATAGGATCATTGTTACTGTCTTTCTAAATTCCATATATGCGTTAATATACTGCATTGGTGTTTTTATTTCTGACTTATTTTACTCTGTGTAATAGGCTCCAGTTTCATCCACTTCATTAGAACTGACTCAAATGGGTTCTTTTTATAACTGAGTAATATTCCATTGCACATACGTACCACAGCTGTCTTATCCATTCATCTGCTGACGGACAACTCGGTTGCTTCCATGTCCTAGTTACTGTAAACAGTGCTGCGATGGACGTTGGGGTACGTGTGTCTCTTTCAATTTTGGTTTCCTCGGTGTGCATGCTAGGATGTCTGTAAAAGCTGCCCTGGATTGCAGAACTACAATTAGCAGCCTTTGGAACTTCCCTAGTGGGGCCGCGGTTACGACTCCACCTCCCACTGCAGGGGAGCAGGTTCAGTCTCCTATCAGGGAACTAAGATTCTGCATGCCCCGAGGTGCAGTCAACAAACAAAACCCAGCTTTCCTTCTCCCACGCAAGCTTCCCTACAGGCAGTCAACACACCGAGCTGTCACTAGGCTGAGTCATTTATACACCTGTATTATTTACATAGATTATCTTGCTATCTCTATGAGATAAGTTCACAGGATGGTCCTGGTAATCAATCCTGTGAGTAGGCACTTTATCTCCATATCATGATGCTTATATAAATGACTGAACAAGTGTGGGTTAATAAAATAAGCTATTACCATAGAATTTTCTTTAAATGACTTCTGATAGCTTTTCCTCCCAGTTAATGTGTAACATAGCAATTCATTTATTTCAGGCAATCACAGCATCAAAGACAGTAAGAATGAGATCCTTAAAACCAATACTTGGGCTCCTTTTATTTCATTTCCCCAATCAATGTGTTGATAACAAAAAAAGACAATGCTGATAATTCTTACTTGATCTTATTTCCCCATCTTCAGCTAATACAGAATTCTGAAGGAGCAGGACCAAAATTATCCAAAGAAATGTAATATGGTGAGCCATGTTTCTGTTTTTGTTCTGCTTTAGGACTCCTAAAAAGAAATAAAGAGGGGGAAAAAGAAAGTTAAATATATTAGAAAAATAAAGATAAATAACTAACAATTATAAGTTTGAATTTGGAAAATACAATACCCAGTTAAAGCCAAGTTAATTTTTACTAATCTTGGAATTAACATATGTGTCCAAATAGCCACATTTCAAATATGTTAATACAAGACAATGAATCGGAGCTGAGGAAGAACATAAGTTTTTTAATTCATAATCATCTTGGGAAAGCAAAAACTTCCCTAAAACTTTAAGCTTTTCTCAAAATATTTACTAGAATCCCTTCTTTTAACACAGCCTGTAGAGCCATATCGTGTTCTTTCTATTATCTCAGAGGCAACACATGTCCTTCTTTTAAATGTGGATTTTCATTTAAGAAACACCCAAAGGGTATCTGGTAAAAAAAAAAAAGTTTATATGATAAAACTGAATGATGGGATTTCATTTTTAATGGCTGTAATAATTATAAACATTAAGATCTATTTTAATTAACTCATCAACACTCAGCTATGTGACTTTAACAAGTTTTCTAAGTTAGTCCTGGGACTTCACTCCTGGTTAAAGTGTGTAACGTTGCCAAAGACTGTCACTCCCAAAAACGAGAACATGCCAGATAAACTATAGGCTTTTAAAACCCAGCAGAAAAGACAGGGTTTATAGAAACCTAAATGAGCTGAATTCCAAAAGTTATTAATAGAACAGAAAAGATCCAGGGCTCCTTTCATTCCAGGAGGAGGAAGAATTTGCCACAGTATAGAAGAAACCAAAGTTGGTGTGAAGACTAGAATTCTGAGAGGCCCCAGCCACAGAGCAAGGATGCCCTCAGTCAGCAATTTTCCCCAGGAGCCTTATCTAGGTACATGGAATAGACAAGTAATACAGAGAAAATTGAGAGCAGGATAAAACAATCTAGAGAGATTTTTTTCCCTCCTTCTCCTTCTTCAGGTACCGAGGGAACTCCTCAAATACAAATCCTTGTCTTGCTGAAGGTTAGGGGAGAAGCAGCAGAACTGAGAAAAGCCCTTCCAAGGCACACTGGGCCTTCACTACAGTGGCGAGACACAAGAGATGAAATGGAACTCAAACACAAAACGTGGAAACTATACTGACAAGCTGAAAGAAATCTTCCAAGTGTCCTCCAAGATATGAGAAGAAACAAGAAAATTTTACTCTGATCAGGAGAAAAACACTCAATATAAGCAGATTCAGAGATAAAGAAGGCTGAGCACTGAAGAATTGATGCTTTTGAACTGTGGTGTTGGAGAAGACTCTTGAGAGTACCTAGGATTGCAAAAAATCAAACCAATCAATCCTAAAGGAAATCAATTCTGAATGTTCACTGGAGGGCCTGATGCTGAGGCTGAAGCTCCAGTACTTTGACCACCTGATGTGAAGAGCCGACTCATAGATAAAGACCCTGATGCTGGGAAAGATCGAAAGCAGGAGAAGAAGGGGATGACAGAGGATGAGATGGTTGGACGGCATCATCAACTCAATGGACATGAGCTTGAGCAAGCTCCGGGAGATAGTGAAGAACAGGGAAGCCTGGCCTGCTGCAGTCATGGAGTCCTAAAGAGTTGGGCACGACTGAGCAACTGAACAACAACAAGAGATGATCTCAATATCAGAAGCACCAAACAGGATTTATAAAATGACTATGATAAACATGTTAAAGGATCTAATGAGTAAGATGGACAATAGTATACAAAAACATGAAATTTCAAAAGAGGGATACAAACTATTGAAAAAAGATGCAAATGAGATGCCAATGCAAATATATATTTAAAAAGAACTAATGCAGTGAGTGCATATAGCAAAAGAAAAGATCAGTAAGCTTGAAGATAAATCAAGAGAAATTAACCAAACTAAACTCAAAGGTATGGGAAGATGAGTGAGTCAGGCAAGCAACAGAGCTTCTGAACTCTGGGACAGCATCAAGTGGTCTTCATTTATTAATAGCACACAGGTAATTAGCTTCTCATATGGAAAGGAGAAAGTGAATAAAGAAATATTTTTAAATACAACAGCCAAGAATTTTCCAATTGACAAACCCTGCCACCAATCAGATCAAACAAACCCCAAACAAAATACAAAGTAAGTCACACCTAGGTACAGCATAATTAGTTGAAAGTTTAAGAGTAAATTCTTAAAACTGACCAGAGGGAAAAAACAAATGACATACGAAGGAACAACAGTAAGAATATTAGATAGAAATTTCATGGTAAAAAATGGGTAATGGATAAGAAAGACATAAAATTTTAAATATGTAGATATCTAATAACAAAGCTTCAGAATTCATGAAGAAAAATGGGGGAAATTTTTTAAAAATGACAAATTCACCCTATATGCAAAACAGAAAAAGAGACACAGATGTACAGAACAGACTTTTGGACTCTGTGGGAGAAGGCGAGGGTGGGATGTTCCGAGAGAATAGCATTGAAACAAGTATACTATCAAGGGTGAAACAGATCACCAGCCCAGGTTGGATGCATGAGACAAGTGCTCAGGGCTGGTGCACTGGGAAGACCCAGAGGGATGGGATGGGGAGGGAGGTGGGAGGGGGGATCGGGATGGGGAACACATGTAAATCCATGGCTGATTCATGTCAATGTATGGCAAAAACCACTACAATATTGTAAAGTAATTAGCCTCAACTAATAAAAATAAATGAAAAAAATAATAAAATTAAATTTAAAAATAAATAAATAAAATAAAATGATAAATTCATATCAAAATGTGATATTTCAACATTCATTTCTCAGTAATTACTGAATTAGACAAAAAAAAATTAGTAAGAGTACATGCATGCATGCTAAGTCTCTTCAGTCGTGTCCAACTCTTTGCAACCCCATGAACTATAGCCTGCCAGGCTCCTCTGTTCATGGGATTCTCCAGGCAAGATACTGGAATGTGTTACCATGCCCTCCTCCAAGGGATCTTCCCAACCCAGGGATTGAATCCACATCACTTATGTCTCCTGTATTGGCAGGTGGGTTCTTTACCACTAGCACCACCTGGTAAGAGTGCAAAAGGTTTAAAAAACATTATCAACCAACTTCACCTAGTGGACATTCATAGAATGCTCCACCTAACAACAGCAGAATATACATTCTTTTGTTGTACAAATGAAAGTCACCAAACAGACCATATGCTGGTGAAAAAAGCAAGCTTCAAATTCCAAAGAAATAAAACCACACAAATTATGTTCTTTGACCTAAATGACATTAAATTAGAAAAAGAAGGACTTCCCTCGTGGCCTAGTGGTTAAGAATCTGACTGACAATGCAGGGGACACAGGTTTGATCCCTGGGACAGGAATATTCCACAAGCCGAGGGGTAACTAAGCCAGTGGGTCACAACTTCTGAGCCCACAGGTGCAACTACTGAAGCTCGCATGCCCTAGAGACCATATTCTGCAACAGAAGTCACCCCAGTGAGAAGCCTTAGCACCACAACTGGGGAGTAGTCCCACCCACAGCAACGACAGAAAGCCCGAGCACAGGCGGCAACAAAGGCCCAGCACAGCCACAAATAATAAATTAATTAGTTTTACATTTTTTTAATAAAATAAATATTTTTTAAAGTAAAAAAATCCCAAAATACTTGGAAATTAACCAATGTACTTCTAAGTAATTCCTGTGTTAAAAAGAAAATCAGAGGAAAATCTTAAAGCATCTCAACTGATCAATTTAAAAAAAAAAAGAATCAAAAATTCATGATGCATTTAAAGCTCTACTAAGAGGGAAACTTTAGTTTTAAAAGCATATTTTAGAAAAGAAGAAAAGTGAAAAATCAATATCTAAGCTTCCCCCTTAATAAGCTAAAGAAAGAACAACAAATTAAATGTAAAATATTAAAAAAGGAATAATCAATGAAATAGAAAAATGAAAAACAATAAATGTAAAGAATTAATTCTTTAACAAATAAATACACTTATAAATCCTAGCAAGAATAGTCAAGAAATAAGACAGAAAATATATACTACCTGAGTCAAAATTGAAACAAGAGATGACACTACAGAGCCTACAGACCTTAAAGGATAATAAATAGGCAGATGAAATGGTCAAAGTCTTAAGACTGAAAGTGAAAGTCCCTCAGTCATGTCCAACTCTTTGAGACCCCATGGACAATACAGTCCCTGGAATTCTCCAGGCCAGAATACTGGAGTGGGTAGCCTTTCCCTTCTCCAGGGGATCTTTCCAACCCAGGGATAGAATGCAGGTCTCCTGCATTGCAAGTGGATTCTTTACCAGCTGAGCCATAAGGAAACCCACTATTCACTGAAACTGATAAAAATTGAAATTATTAAAGAAATTGAATTTTTATTCAAAAATTTTCCCACAAATAAAACTCCAGTGCCAAATAGTTTCACCAGTAATTTCTACCAAACATTAAAAAAGTAATAAATACTTTTATAAAGCAAAATTAAATGAAAATAGAGGGAGAGAGAACTCTCCTCAACTTCTAGTATAAAGCCAACATAACTTTAACAGAAAACTAGACAAAGATATTAAAAGGTAAAACTATAGTCCATTATCCTTCATGAGGCAAGGATGTAAAAATACAGAATGAGTCATTAGCAGATAAAATCTAGCAATATGTGAAAAAGATCATGACCAAGTAAGGCTGGGCCCACTGATGCAAGAATATTTAATGTTTAAATCTCAGGACTCTCCTGGTGATCCAGTTTTTAGGACTCCAGCTTCGGGTGCAGGGGTCGCAGTTTCCATATCTGAGTGAGGAACTACGATCCCTCATGCCACAGGGCAATTAAGACTGCATGCCACAACTCCTAAACCCCCTGCTTCAACTAGAGAGGCTGTGTGCTGCCAACTACAGAGCCCACGCACTCCAGAGCCCACAAGCTACCCGGGTGCCACAAGGAAGACCCCGAATGCTGCAACTAAGGCCCAGGGCAGTCAAAAATAAATAAATTCTTTTTTAAAAAATTCAAATATCAGTTGATGTAATTTACAACACTAAGAAA